ACCATGATGTAATTGTTGATTCCAAACTCAGTACATCCCAAAGGTATATCATCAGGAAACTTGGCTGCACAGTATCCCTCCAACACTTCATTATGAACTGGAAAATTACCCCCTTTAAGATGCATTTTAATTTTTATCATTCTTATGTCAACCAAAATTGTCTTTTACAAAACATGTCCTAAGCAAATTGAGAACATACACTTTTATACACATTTTTATTCTTATCCGACATTGAAATGCATCTCAAAGGTAATATAATTTTAATTACAATAAACCAAATTGAGTAAGTTTGATAATATGGCACAGACATCGCATGCAGCAAGACTGAACTGCTATGGCCCCTGGAAAACAAAAAGAAAAGTGGAAATGAATAATGATCAACAGTAAAAGTAATAGTAATAAATATAAATAAATAAAAATAAATCAACAATCAAGGAAAATGAAAATTAAGATAACAATGACAGCAAATAAAATCAGAAATAAAAATGAGAGAGTTGAAGTGGACTAGCTTAGAAGACAGATGGGAGTAGAGCGGCCTTGTTCCCAGCATTAGTCAAGGGGGATTCATGGCTTCCCTGAATTTTAACAATAAAAGAATAATTATAATCATTTAATTGCACAGTTACTCATGCAGTAGTTTGTTCTATGTCCTTACTAGCTCCATATCTATTATTATAATATTATATATATTGTATTATAATATATATATTATAGGATTATCTATTATTCTTAATGTTCATTTTTTTAAATAAAAAAATATTTACATTTAAAAATTAACTGTTGTTATCTTTATGTTCTTCTCACCCCTCAGTCTTTCTTCTTTTTATGTCTGTTTGTCTATGTGAACAATTGTGTGTGTGTCTTTTTCCCTTGCATTCTCTTCCTTCCCTGGCTGACATAGTGTTCTATGTTAGACCATCAGTGTTTCTACTGTACTTTCACTCCTCTTCTCTGTCTGTCTATTCTATGTTGCACTGTAAAGTTAAATAATAATAATAATAATAACTAGTAGTTTATTAACTATTATTGTAGTTAGATCTAAGTGGGTGTGGCTGTACTCGGAATCGAATCTTTCGATACTGGAATGGACCTTTTGCACTTAAGCGATTCTAATTAACGCGCACCCAAAGTGGTGGTAAAATGGCGGATTTTGGGAGGAAAGACAGGCTGAACAATCTTCTCTTTTATCCAGCCATTCTAGCTGTAGGAGCCACTTTGAGCTGTCCTTTTGTTTCAGTATACTCTATTTATCTCTTCTGTAAGCTCT